CCCACATTGCACGTTTAAAAGGGGCAGGGCTTTGGTCACACGGCTGTGGCCAGCATCGGGACTTGGCTGACCCCCTCCCTGCAGACACCCCCCACCAGAAGGCTCTGTCCTGCAGAGGGTGGGGACATTACTTACTGGATAACATCGCTGCCAGGGACCGCAGCTCGGGAGCCTATGCTGCGCAGGTGGCTCAGCCTCTGACCCTCCTCACCCGGGGAGGCGGGGGGAAGTGCCATCTCGGAAGACCCACGCTTCCAGGCGGATTCACGCTGTCAACAAAAAGCAAAAGGGGACCGGCGTTGGCCCACTGAGGAGCAATGGGAAAGGTGAAGCAATTCTTGCCCGCGCTTGTGATCCATGTGGATCGCGATGCTGCAGCTGAGGAAGCCATCTAGCTGCGCGCCCCATCCTGTCCCCGCTTCCTCCCTCGGGCACCAGCTGGCTTCTTTCAAGGATCACCTTTTCCACCACTTCCTGGGGTGGCGGGGACTGAGGGCACAAGTTGGACTGATTCCACAGAGGTCCTACTTTAGAGAAAAATGAAGACAGCAACATCAGATTAGGGGACCGCTCCCCAAAACGGCTTGGTCTTTAAGTTTTTACAAAATACTAGCAGAGAAGGAGACAGCCTGATTTTCAAAGGGAGGCTCCTCCATGCTATTGGCGCTGCCATGGAAAAAGAGATCCTCCTTGCCTCGCCCCCCCCGAACCGCCCAAAAGTGTGGGACTTGTAGCACTTTCTCCCTGGTAGATCTAACTAGTTGGGCTCATACTAATTACTGTAGGAATCCTGCAGGTACATAGCAACCCATGTTTGATCTATTCAGTAACATTTAATGAAAGAAACCATTATTTAGTTTATTGTACAAACCCTGTCTGCTATTCCAAGCTCTAAACATTCCTTAACTGCCTGTTTGCTCAGATCAACTCATCCCCACTTTTGATATCATTCTTTAAATGCCTAAACTCACAGTAACTGTTGGGGGAAAGAGGCACCAACCCAAACTCAAGAGGGCTATTTAAATGAAAAAGAGTTACTGAACAATAGCTATTGGATTGAACTCAGCACATGGGAGAAGAGAGAAAGAGAAGACAATCAATTGTTTAGCTTACTCCTCCTAGTAAGATTTTGTTATGTTAGGTACAGCAGCAGAATAGATGAGAAACAGGAAAACCACTTGTTTTTCCAACACTATTATTAGTATAGGAATACACATATAGCAGTTTGTTTCTTCTTGCTTACAAATACGTCTTTGCTAATTTCTTGTTTCCTCCTTTCTCTACCTAGCTACAAGAAGTCCTCGCTTAATGACTGTTCATTTAATGATGGTCTGGAGTTATAATGACCTTTGGAAAAGCGCTTTACGACCCCCATGGTCACATGATCATGATTTGCTACCTTTTTAATGATGGTCATTAAGTGAATCACCATGGTTGTTAAGCAAATCATGTGGTTGTTAAGCAAATTCCAGCAGAAAAAGGCCATTGGAGAAACTGGATTCACTTAACGACCATGTGATTTGCTTAATGACCACAGTGATTCACTTAACACCTGTCATAAAAAAGTTCATAAAATCTTTTACGATTCGCTTAACAACCAAATCACATAGCGACCTAAATTCCAGTCCCTATTGTGGTCAGATAGCAAGGACTATCTATACTATCTTAGCTATTAAGAAACATGAACATGGGAATGCTCAACACAGTGAAAGATAAAATGACGACACATTGACATCTTAGGCATCAGCAAAATGAAACTGACTAGATATTAGGCCCAGCCCAAGAACGACGGTGAAACAGTCCAGTTGAATTCAGTTCCTTTATCTGCTTACACTACGTAGAGAAAATCTTGCCGGATTAAATCAGTACCACTGAAACTCATGGATATGGCCTGGGAGATTCTAGGGAGTGGCTGTCCTGAACCTCTTACACCTCCCACGCCCCAGCTCTGGACTGTGTTGTCTTTTGCCTCCTTGGCCTTCCTGGAATGCACCCCCTCCTTCCTGACAGCCTTGCTCACTACTGCAATCCACCACATCACCCTCCTCTCCCTAGATACATTCCATCATAAGAACTGGACACTCTCAGTCAGAAGATCACATTGTTTGCTACCCAAGACACGAAATACAAAGAAGGAACTGCACTGCTTTCATAATAAGGAAGGATACAGTAAGGGCAGCACTTGGGTACAATGCAGTCAATGACCCAATTATATCAATTAGACTTAATGGACAAGCCAT